TTTCAGTATACAGGTAGGAGTGGAATTATGATGTTTTACAGTAACATATAGTTTAACATTTTAAGGATTTCCAAAGGGGTTGTACCACTTTACATTCCCACCAGCAGTGTATGAGAATTCTGATTTCTCCACATTCTTGCCAACACTTATTGTTCATCTTTTTTATTATAACCATCCTACTAGGCCTGAAGTGGTATCTCATTATGGTTTTCTACTTCTCTAATGACTATGTGCATCTTTTCTTGTGCTATTGGCCATTTGTATATCTTCTTTGTAGAAACAACCTTTCTTATTTCTTAACTGATTGTCTTATTGTTCAGTTGAAAGTATTCTTTATATATTTTGTATACTAGTCTTTTATCAGATATAAGATTTGCAAATATTGTCTCCCATTCCAGGCCTGCCTTTTCACTTTCTGGATAGTGTCTTTTCCAGCACAAATTTTATATATCTTGATAGAGTCCAACTGATCTATTTTTTAATTTGGTCACTTATGCTTTTGGTGTCATATATAAGAAACAATTGCCTAATACAAGGTCATAGAGAGTTCCATCTATGTTTTCTTGTGAGAGTTTTATGATTTTAGCTCTTACTTTCAGGTCTCTGATCCATTTTGAGTTATTTTTTGTATATGGTGTGGGGACTGGGGGCAACTTCATTCTTTTTGCATGTGGTTATCCACCACCATTGGTTGAAAAGATGTTTTTTCCCCATCAAATTGTCTTGTCACCTTTGTGGAAAATCAACTGACCATAAATGTAAGGGTTTATTTCTAGTCCATTCATCTTTATGCCAGATCCACACTGTCTTGATTATTATAGCTTTGTATCAGTTTTGAAAATAGGAAGTATGAGTAGTATGAGTATTCTGGCTTTGTTTTTCTTTTCAAGATTATTTTGGCTATCCTGAGTCCTTTACATTTCCATGACTTAGTATCAGTTTCTGTAAAAAGGATAGTAGGATTTCGGTAGCGATTGCACTGACTGAACATACAGATCGATTTGGGAGTATTGCCACTGTAACTGAACTCCTTTTGGCGTACATTAATATTGGTGACTTCTTGTCACTTGCCTCATTGTAGGTTTACAGACATGGCTTTCATATGCTGCATTTTTGAAAAATTAGTAAGTCAAAGGCCAAAGAAGCTTTCTATTTTTTTGTCCTAGAAACAAAAAACTATTCTCTAAATGAAATAACTTTCTGCTTCTATCATTTTATTTTTTATTTAGCAGCATGAAAGCCATTTTACTCTTATAACCACATCCACCTAGTTCCCTAGATAATAATCGCCATCTTGTAGAATTCTGAGCTTTTGCCACTGCAAAATTACTAGCTTCTTGCTCCAAATCTACTTAGCTAAGAAATGGGATGGAAGGACTTCAGGGTTCACAGACTAGGGAAGAGTGAATTTAAAGATTAGCTTGCTCATTCTATATTTAGGTTCATCCTAAGAAAATAATTATAAATATGTCCAAAGATTAATCTATAAGAATCTTCAATGCAGTATTGTTCACAATAGTAAAAAAACCGGAAACTAATCAAATGTCCAATAACTAGAAATTGGTTAAATAATGGAAGGGAATATCATCTAGCCATTAAACATCATGTTTCAAAGACTATTTAATGATATGAAAAAAGTGTATTTGTGTTAAGTAAAAAAGGCAAATTGCACAGCATAATTCCATTTTTGGAAAATAACATACACAGAGAGAAGTGGAAAGATATACACTAAAATTTTAAGGTAGTTATGGACTATAAATTACTCTGTTTCTCTGCTTTCCAACTTTTCTACATTAAATATTGGAAGTTCTCATCCTCTTTTTTTTATTATCACTTTTCTATAAGAAAAGAGAAATGTTAAAACATATCAGTCTGTAGTACAGTGGCTACAAAACGGGCCTCGTTTTACTTGTCTAGCTATAGTCCCCCTGTCAGCTCACTATTAGATATCAAGGGTTGGCTTTAGCTCAAGCAGTTATTTCACCATATTGGACTTCACTATTTGGAGATCTCTGCTGGGATCCTTACAAGAAAGTCTTCCTCTTCAGAACTGCACCATGATCCCCTATACCTGAAATAAAACTAGTTCTGGGAAGGTCTGGACTGTGTAGGTAAAGGTATGAGGGAGAGAAGGGGTTCTGGATGTTGGGAATGGGATGGCTAATCAAAAGAGCCTGCTACCTTGGGACCAGGAGATGGAGTAGAAATTTCGGGGCACCAACTATTCTCCAGCTAGTACTTCTTCACCCCCCATCACTGTGTCTATTCTTTAGTTCATGCGTCTTTACTTTTATCAAGTCTCCCTTTATAGACTTTGAGGGTGTGGAACTTGGACCAGAGCCAACTATTGCTGCCAACACCCTCTCCCAAGGCGGGACTAACGAGACAAGATCTAGGATTTCTAGGACTCCCACCACTATAAAAGGTTATAAAAGTTTTGTCCCTTCATGTGGACTCAGTTGACTGCAACCAATTAGGAAAGAGGCTGTAAGAAATGTTTATTGTTTCCATTACTATCAACTTGCTATCAGCATGCTCTCAGTGATTGTATTGTAAATGAGAGGAAGTATGAAATGCTAAAAACAAATAACACAGCACACAATCTCACCTCTGTAACTTGGTTCAAGTGTTCCCTTGAATACTAGGAGTATTAGGAAAAAGTCAACTTTAGGTTGGTTGTCTCTCTCTACCTTAACCTTAAAGGAGTTAAAATACCTCCTCCTCCAAGGCATCCCCACCTGGATTCATCCCTTGCTCCCTGGGGCTCCAGCAGCACTTAGGTGAAGCCCCACACCCTGCGCAATGTTACAGATGGTATATTACATCACATAAAGTTACAGGCAGCAGTCGCCTCGGGATCAAGAGTGTGGGATATAGAATCAGAAAAACCTAGGTTTGGGTCCTGAATTCCTTCTATTCCTAGCTTTGGGATGATGGCAAGATACTTTGCCTCTCTGAACTTTGGTTTTCTCATCTATTGAATATACGTAATAGTGCTGACTTTAGACAGTTCATCAAAAGTCAAGAAATGGTCTTAGTCATAGTTTTTATGGAAGGCAGACACTGTGTTGTATTCACTTTGCCTCTCTAATTGTGCCCAAGTAAGTGCTTTACACATAAGAAGAGCTTGCTAAATATTTAATATCATTGAGCAAAAATTGAAAAAGCCAAGGTACTTTATGAACAGGTGAGAAGTGATAGTTTCACCAAACTGCCAACTAAAATGCACCAAAAATGAAATAGAATAAAAGCCTCTAAGAGGCTTGTCTGTTTTTGTCTCTCTTTTTTAAATTGTGGTAAAATATGCATAGCATAAAATTTACCATTTTAAACATTTTCAGGTATACAATTTGGTGGCATTAAGTACATTTACACTGTTGTGCAACCATCACCAGTAAAGCTTGTCTTTCTTTTTTTCTCTGAATTATTTATTATCATTATTATTACTACCATTAATAGTAAAGAACATTTTCAAGTGGCATATCTTCCAATAATAAACGGGATTCCTATATTGGTGTTCATGCCTTTCTGGGTGTGTTTATGGGTCCTGTGGATGTCACACACACTTTCATTTCCTCCTCATTCAAAGCCACATTCAGGTTTTTCACACTTGCTCCCAAGACCAGTGAGATGTATCTTTTGACTGGCCTATTAAACCTAATAAATCGATTAAATTGCTCTATCTATATTATACTTTAAATTGTAGACCTTTAAAAAAATTAAAGTATAATTGACATACAATATCCTATTAGTTTCAGGTGTGATTTTCATTTTTTTATGTGTTATGAAATGGACCCAGCAGTCTTGTTACTATCCGTCACCATACAAAGTTACAGGAATAATATTGACTTAATTCCCTATGCTGTGCTTTACATCCACAGGACTTAACTTATTTTATAACTGGAAGCTTGTACCTCTCAATCCCCTTCACCTATTTTGCCATCCCTCAACCCCAACCCACTTTGGTAACCAACAGTGTATTTACTGTATCTATGAATCTGCTGCTGTTTTGTTTTTTTTTAGATTCCACATATAAGTGAAATCATATGGTATTTGTCTTCTGACTTACTTCATGAAGCATAACACCCTTCTTACATCCATGTTGTTGTAAAAGGCAACATTTCATTCTTTTTCATGGTTGAGTAATAGGGCTTGTGTTTCTTACAGAGTTCTCTGAATGACAGCTAGGATAGGAAATGGTACTTCACTACTTTTGTTAATAAAGCATAATAGACCTTAATCTTTTTCAGCGATGAAATATCTTTCTAAGATTCTGTGCTGCTTCTAAGAGCTCTTTACATTTGAATTAACTGAATTCTAGTATAAGTGACTTGAAGCCAAATTTGATAGTTTAAATTTTGGGCTTCTCTGTAGCTCACCTTGTCATCTTGGACAAATTACTTAACCTACTGTGTCTTTGTTTTCACATATTAAAGAGGGATCATAGTAATAGTATTTATGTTAGAGACTTGGGATAATTAAATGAATAAATGGTGTTTAGTACATGGTAGTTGCAATATAACTATTAATATTGTTTTTATTCTTAGAAATAATGTCTTCAAAGTCTCTTTCCTGCTGGACTGAATGTGCTGAAGCCAGAGATGTCATCAGTTTTGTCTACTGTCAGTTGACTTGCTTGCAAATACCTCCAAATGGGCTTGGAATCCATCTCCCCCTTCCTTTAAACATTTTTTGTTTATTTGCACATGCACTTATTTGAGAAAGGATTAAGATGGCTTAATTTAAGTTAATTTATATTTATATAAATTAGTTCATTTATAGGAGCCCTTGGCTTAACCTGGGAAATCCTGGTTTAACAGTGGGAAAGTTAATTTATAGAAGTCCTTGGCTTAACTGGGAAATTCCTGGTTCAACAGTGGGAAAACAGTGAATCTTGCCCTTAGGGGACGCTATTTATCAGGGTATCCTAACCCCAGGAAAAGGGAGGAGAAAAGGCGCACGGGCGGGAGTGACATCAGCAGGAAATTAGTATCAAGTTACCCAAAACCTAAGACCCAGTTTTTACTTGCACAGCCAGAAAATCTTGCGTTCAATGGCCGCGCAAATAGAAGCTGACTTGGAATTTGGAGCGCAAAGAGGATTCTAATTTCTTCAAAACTTTTGTTTTCAGGCAATTTCCCGGAGGCCCATTTATCGTCTACCTCCAGAGGATCAGTGGAATTTCATCTGAAGGTATGTAATTAACAACCTCCATTTCCCCCCCACAACGCAGGGGTCTCAGGCTACAGCCTGCCTCATGTCACAGAAACTTGCAAAACTCCTCAGTATCAACAATGACACTGCTTCTGCCTGGATTTGTTAGCTGTGCCAGGGAAAATGAAAGTTTAAAAAGCCTCAGGAAGGCTCCAACCCAGACTTTTATGGGCAGAAATATGCTAGTCCACAAACGAAGACAGTCTGCCAGACCCCCGAAAGGTAGAAACCAGATCTTCAGGAAACCGCAAAGCAAGAAACCAATCATTTGGTTTCAAGTATCACAGGGCTGCTACTAGAAGGAAAGACCCTATGGATGATCTCATTAAAAATGACTTTTTTTAAACAATGAAAGTAATGTATGTTCACTGCATAAAATTTGAGAAACTCAGGAACCCAGAAGAAAATTTGTATTACCTCTAATTATAATAATATATTTAATTATATTAATACATATTACTATATAATACATATTAATTAAGATATATTACCATCTAGAAATAACCATTCTTTGTTATGGACATCATTTTTTGCTATGCTCTTCCTTTAGAAAGTCGTTTCCTGCTTCTGAATAGCCAAGTCTTGCAAAGTGAATATACCTTAGAGAGAATATATACTACAGAAGAATGAATAATATTACACTAAAATATCTTATCAGTTCATTGCTCCTCTGATTAGAATGAAATTTAGTGTAGAAAATACCGTCTGAACTTGAACCGGTCAGGTAGAAATACTAATTTAGGTAATCTGTAACTTTCTTCCTTGATCTGAGGAACCCTCGTCTAAAACCGCCCTTTCCCTCTGGGGTCTAGGACTATGGCTTCTCTTTCTGGGAAATAGAAGCCTGCCCCATATGGCTAGCAATGCCACTTCGTTGTCCTTGGGTCGGTAGACCCTTCAGAAATACAAGCGCCTAGATTGCTTTAATTCTATAATGTAAGGCATAAATCTAAGTGCTGTATCTGCCATTTGGTGGGAATGAATTACAGCTGCAACTGAGAGAAATTGTTCTGTGTCATAGTCCCTTTTGACTAGCTCTCACAGGGGACATTTTGATTTGGGAGAAATCAGGATAAATTGAGTTCCCACAAAAGCTCCCTCCTGACCTCCTAAAGGGTTGACATATATGTACTGGGGTCGACTTGTCTGGCCTGCAGTAATTTTTATTTTTTAGCACTTCTAGGAAGGTCTATGCCTGGGACAGACAAGGCTGGATCTGGGAGAGGCCTGGGAAGTGGGGGTGCCACTTTACTCTCTGTCCCACCTCTCTGACTCTTTCAGGCTGGCCCTGGCATCTCAAAGCCAAAGTATGAGTCCCAGTACAGATGATAAATATAACATGAGCTTTCGCAAGAAGCTTCTGACTATTAGTTCAAACCTGGAGGACCAAGATGTGGAGAGCCTGAAGTTTCTCTGCCAAGACTATATCTCCAACCAGAAGCTGGAGAAGGCCAGCTCAGCCGCGGATATTTTCCATCACCTTTTGGCAGAGGAGCTTTTGAGTGAGGAAGACCCCTTCTTCCTCGCGGAACTCCTCTACATCATCAGGCAGAATTTACTGCTGCGGAACCTGCACTACACCAAAGAGCAAGTGGAGCGTTTTCTGCCCATCCGGAGGAGGGTCTCCCTGTTCAGGTGAGGAGGGGTCTGTGACCCAGGCAGGAGGGTTTTCCATCCAGTGTTCATTCAGGCTACTGGGCTTTGAAAGGAGGCTGGGATTAAGATCTTTTTCTTATCTACCTCCTTGGATGATATCGTGATTCTGAACCAGGTGATCTCCTAGTTTTAGGTACTTAGGAGAAGAGAGGTTGGGAAATCTGCAAGGCTTCAAATCCCAGCTCTGGGCCTGGCGGTGGCTTCCCTTTACTCCCCACTGAGTAGCGGGGCCTGCGCTTCCTCTTTCCCAGCCTCAGCACTCCCAGGCGGCCCTTCCCCCTGTGAGTCTTGGGTGTGTCCACCCATATTTGGGGATTTGAGAAGAGTAATTTGGCCCCTACTTGGGGCCAAATAAGCGAAGTGAAAAGGAGTCATGTGTCTGGGGTAGGGAGGGGCATCGTTTGTGCTCTGTCCTATTATAAATGTATAGACATTTTGCCCAAAGAGGTAAAATATAGGCATCAGTCCTATGATGGGTCTAACCTTAGATAACACTATTTTCTTTATTTAATTTTTAAAATTGACATATAATTGACCTTACAATGTATTAGTTTTAGATGTACAACAGAATGATTTCATACATATATGTATGTGTTTTGATATATGTATCAATATATATATGAGATACGTATATTGATGCACACACATGCACACACACACACACACACACACACACACACACATATTGTGAAATACTTACCACAATAAGTTTAATTTAACATCCAGCACCAGACATGGTCACAAATGTTTTTTTCTTGTGATGAGAACTTTTAAGATCATTTAGCAACTGTCAAATATACAGCATGCTATTATTAATTAGTGCTATACGTGACATCCCTGGAACTTATTTAACCGACACTGTTTTAAGTTGTCCACTGACGTAGCATCAGCCTCAGAGAACCTCACAAGGAGGAGCCTTCAAAGAGTCATTTTGCAGCTGGGGCAACTGAAATCCTTCAGGCCTTCATACTTGAACTAGCTTTCAGAACCTCAGCTGCCCTGGAGTCAGTGAGGGAATTCTGTAAATCATTATTTCCACCCTGCTGGTTAAACAACTGAGGAAGGCCTGTGACATGCAAGGGGCTAGTGTGGTCAGCTTTCCTGGCTGTCCGTTACATGAAGGTCCAGAGATGGGGGGAGTTGCCTTCTTTTCCAACAGTGGGCTTTATATTACTGGCAATGGGCACCCTCTGGTAAGGGCCAAAAGCAGGCCTGAATTTCTAGAATGGAGTCAGGAGATGGGTGGGCATGCCAAAATTCTATTTTATGTCTTCCCACTGTGATAGAAAAGAACACTGACCGTGGAACCAGGAAGCCACCTCTGCTACTTCCTGTATTGTCTCATAGGGCACTTTGAAGCTCTAAGTTTTAGTCTCTGAATCTATAAAATGAGATTAGTTATTGTCCACTCACAGGGTTAGAGTCATTCAGATGAAGAGATTATGTTTGTAAAAAACACTATTTGCTGTGCTGTCCTCTGCAAATAAAGGCTTTCTTTGTCTCTTTTGATGTATGTCTTAGACACCTGCTCTACGAACTGTCAGAAGACTTCAACTCAGAGAACTTAAAGGACATGATCTTCCTTCTGGGGAACTTGATTCCAAACGTCAAGATGGTGAGTGGGTCATGGAGAGTGGGGTGTTTGTGAACCCTGCCTTACCCAGTGTTTGGGAAGATGCTGAAAAGGGCTTTCAGGAAGGCTTACTTTTTGCAGCAGTTAGTATCACACAGAGGTTAGGAACACTGATTTTGGTGTCAGATGGTGTTGGATGCTAGTCCTGGTTCTGCAATTCATCACTCAATGTGGGGCAAGTGATTGAGGCTGTCTGAGTCTCCATATGGTCCTTTGTCACATTTTAGACCATCATACTACTTTCTTCCAGGACTGGCAGGAGGCTTGGATGAAATAATGTACATAAAACATTAGGGGCCTGTAACTGGCACATGATGCCCATTCAGTAAACCGTTAATTGCTGTTGGCATCCACTGTGTTTTACAATATAGAAGTATGTGGGGCACAATAAGGAAATGAGTAGGCAGTAAATAATGGCAGAGTGGAGTTAGTCATTTATGGTTTACATTCGATGAGGTTTCTGAGGGAGCCCATGTCTTCTTTTCCAGCACTTTTCAGTGTCTCTCATGTAGGGTTTCTGTGAAAATCAAATGGGGCAAATATTTGAGGATGTGCTTTGTAAAGAGCTCTACAGGTGTTTTGAATTAATAGTAATGCTTTTAGTATTAATAGAATTGTTATGTGCTAACACGACTGCTACATTGGTCACATTTAAAGGTAGGAAAGTAGCTACATGTCTCTTTTCCAGGCCTCAAAACTTTGCATTTCTTCTTTTGATATTAACAACAACTTGTGATGAGCAACTTAGTTAATTGCGAAGGGGCTAATTTTCAAATTTTACTCGATAACATTAATTATGTTATTCAATCACTATCTTTATTAGATTTTAAATTATGTACTGTTTGATGACACAAAAATACATGTAACGTGTGTGGAAGTTATGAAATGCAGTACTAAATGAACAGTTATGAAGCCCTGTTCCAGTGTAGGAATGAGAGTATCACCAATGCTCTTGAGCCTATGTGTAGCCCTCTGATCACATTCCCTCCAGATCAACTGATGTTATTGACAAATAGCATTTCTTTTTTAAAAGAAAAATCACTGAGGAGTGGGAAGCTGTTTTACAAGTGGTAGGTCAAATGAGGATGATGTTAGTAATTCACTAAATATGTTTCCTGGTGTCAGACCTGTAGTCCTGAGCAGGTTAATTCTCTGTTTTTGACCTCAATCTCTGAGTCCTTTTTTTGCCTTTTTCAGAGCCCTCAGGGATTTTGGCCTCTTGTGTCCTTTGACTGGTCACCTTTAGAGGCTCTTTTCTGCCAAAGATTGGTTGTAGGTTCCTTGCAGATGGGGACCTAGTCTTACTCATCATTATATAGCTCTGAGACCTGAGAGGATCTGTTATGAAACGACACTCTGGATGCAAGTATGAATGAATGGGGTGATGCAATCTTCCCCCTTGTCTTTCTTTTTGACAAAATGATCCGAACCCTTTCTGCTTATATGATTTGACAGTGAATGACTGGGATGATAGCAGGGTGAGCTAAACCACCATAATGGGGATATGCAAAGATACACTTATAACATTGGCATGCTTGCTGCCCCTTGTCAGAATCTACTAATTTTCTTCTTAGATAGCCCCTGGAAGTCCTAGCATCTTTTTTGTTTTTGTTTTTTCCACATGTTTTAATTTTTATCAGAAAGAAAAAAAACACAACAAAACACAAGTACAGGAAATGACACAGAAGGAATCTACAGCTTCATGAATTATTACAAGGTTAACACCCTTGAAAACACCACCCTGGTCAAGAAATTGAGTTTTACCAGCCACTTCAGGAGTCCCTCCATTTGCCACATGCTGATCACGGCCCCTTCTCACCCGCTAGAAATAACCACAGTCTTGGCTTTTATAGTAACCATGTTTTTATGTTTCATTATGGTTTTATTATTTACCTATACATCCCCAGATACTAAGTTTAGTGTTTACTAATTTTTTCTTTTGAACATCTTTTAATCTATAGGTTAAACTTCCCTGCCCACAGTCCCTTACTTTTTCTTAAAATGCATATGTAGAAGAGCCCCAGAACAGGTGGCTTGTAGAATTTCCCCTGGGCTGGGTTTTGCTGATTGCTCAGGCTTGGTGCAGTCTAGCATGCAGCTCTGTCTTCTGCGTTTCCTGTAAATTGGCAGCTGGATTCAAGGGCCTCATCAAACTCAGATTAGATCCTTTTGCAAGACTATAGATGGTCTTGTGTTCTTTCTTCAGGAGGTACACAATGCCTGGTTTTCTCTCTTTTTTCAATTAGCAACTGTTGATGTTTTTCAGTAGTTTTATATATTGACTCTTTGGCAGTTGCAAAATGGTGATATTCAAATGCTATCATTTTGTTTTTCCCTTGTCTACTATTTTGTTACCCAGAGATACAGTTTATGTGTAAGTTCTTGATTTTTATTTACCCAATGTTGAAGATAATTAACTGGTTTCCTGTCCTTCTCTGAAAGAGACCCAAAATATATAAATTTGAGTTCATGGATTTACACATATTTGATTGGTTTCAATCCATTGGAATTATTATCCTTATTGAAGTTCAAATTCTCCAATTTTGTCCAGTAGTCACCTCTTCAAGGTGGTTCCTGAGTCATTTTGACATTACCTTAGTAGTCGTTGATGGCTTCCTTGCTATCTGGTCTGAGAAGATATCTCAAATTCATTTTGTACATTTTCTGCCTAGACCTAAAAGCTGTCATTTTTCCAAAACTCCCTGGTTTGTTTCATGAGTTATGTTATGTCAAGACTACAAACTAGTGTCTGGCAATGGTCCAGTTGCTTCTGAGTTGATGATTGCTTCTAGTTTTTTTTCCCCAAAGGATAGTGCTAGGAAATGTGTGTGTGTGTGTGTGTGTGTGTGTGTGTGTGTGTGTGTGTGCACGTGTGTGCATATGTCTGGGTTTTTTTGCATATAAAATATTTCATGACTTTGTACTGTTTTCAACTCAAATTCATGTTCTAATTACCTCTTCTATGTTATATATCCATCTCCTTTTTTCCATACTAACTCCTGGTTCTCATGTCATAGGAGAAGATAGAATGATTATTTGTTTTCCCATTACACATACAACAGTCTCAGGATATTAATAATTAATACTTCCATCACAAATATGATAATTCACAATAGTTAGAATGTTTATCTTGCATATGCTATACCCATTCTCTCCCAGTTTGTTTTTAGGGTTGAAGTATATCTACACTGTCAGAGTATATAGCCACTATATACTATGCTCACTCTCTTTTAATTTTATTTAATCCTCATTCAGTCCCCTTTCTACAAAAGTGTGTGTGTGTGTATCTGTGTATCTTAAGGGTCCATGAGTTCTTGGAGAATTAAGAAACCAGGGGGTTATGTTTTAGATAATATTTTTTAATGTGCTCACATTGCATTGGTGCAAAGCGATTAGCTATAGCATTTTACCTTAAATGGAGAATTTCTCAACCTTAAGGGGCATTCCTGTAGTTTGAAAAGCTCTCCAGGTTCTGATAACATTTTCTCCCAGCTTGGGCCATCCTCTCACAAGTTTTTCAGTCTCTGGAATTATAAATAAAATGAGGTCACTTTCTACTGTTAAACTTCTTCCCATGTGATGGACAGAAGTCCCTACATGGATGGCACTCCCCACAGGGTTGGGGGTGAGGAGAAGGGCATTTGTTAAAGGAGTCCCTGATGTGCTCAACACCAAACCACAATTTTCTACTAAGAAAAGCTGGGGACTGTATTTCTTCCTGTACCGTTTCCACGGGCCCTAGGCCTCTGTGGCTTCAGAAACATTTTTATAGTTGGAGGCATTCCTAATTTCCAAATATTTCTCCCCATGCTAATTACTTTTTAAGTCACTAAAGGCCAAAGGTTCAAATAGCCAAAGGAATTTTAAGTTTTTCTCACTCAGTACAACACTAAAAGGAGACATCACTGTGTTTAGCCAGATACAGAGCTATGGAATTACCCGGTTTGAAATCAGGAAAACTGTACTTCCTTCTTGGATTCCAAATGATCTCATCTTTATTCCGAAGGAGATCTGTTTCTTCACATCAGAAGTGTGGCTGAGTTATATACCTCAGAGAGCCCACATTGATCCCTGCTGGGCTCTGTGTTCCCTCCACTTCCCTCTACTGCCAAACTTCTTGAAAGACTACTCTACACACAATCTTTATCCACTGACTCAACTCTTGGTCACATTTCAGTGCATCCCAATGTGGCTTCAGCTTTTATCGCCTTAATGAGACTATTCTTGCTGAAGCCAGCATTAACCTCCTCATATAACCAGATCTTTAGTTCTCATCATTTCCCCATATTGTTTCCTTTGCCTGGAATGTCCTTTTCCATGTTGGCAGCAAAGGCTTGGTCATCCTTCCAGCTGCCATTCAAGTATTATCTCCCATACATGGCTTGAGTGAAGCCTGCTTTGTGGAAGAGATCATAAATGAGTGGTATTATGATTTGAAGTCATCTTTGACTGTTACTCCACTCTTCACCCACTTCCAGTTGACCTCCAAAGCTCACTGAACTCTATTTCTGACATTCTCCAAATCTAGTGCCTCCTCTGCGTCTTCACCAGAGTATTTAATCTTTCTGCCAGTATTTTCTTTTTAATTCATTTCCTCTTCCAACTTATCCCCAAGACTTTTGTTTAAAGACAGATGTGTTCACGTTACTTTTCTCATTAAAAACTAGTACTGATGTGAGACCCATGGCTTGCCCGGACTCCTCCCATGATGTGTGTGTTCTGCCACAGTCTGAAACCAGCCCACTGTTCCAGACATGACCTAACTCTCACTCATGGTTTGTCCTCAAGCCTTCTCAGTATTCTTGAACATACTGTCCCTTTTCAGCCATTCAGCATGTCTGGAGACCTCTTCTCCAGGTCTCACTTTGCTAATGCTTATGTATAAAGTTAGGTAGTGCTTGGATGTTCACTTTCTGATCAGTTTTTCTTTTCTATGGCCTCTAATATAATTTTGTTCATATATGTTTTTTCATAACCAGCTCAATACATTGAGGCCCTCATCACTGAATTCAATATGTAATTCAATACTAACGTAATAATAGCTGATTGACATATGTAATTAGATATTAAAGCAATAATAGCTGATTGACAATTTTCTGAGCAATACTTAAGGAACTTTTTGTTTTAAAATATCAAATATAAAATTCTTTCAAAACATTTTCATTTCTTTAGTGCTTCTTTTTTATTATTTATATTTGTATTTATTTATTATATAAATTACAGCTGTGAGTGAGAGGGAGCATAGCTCAGTATAGGTTAATAAGAGAGACTTTGATATCAGCCTGCCAGGGTTCAAATACCAGCTCTGCCACTTAATAGCCATGTGACCTGGATAAGTTATTGAACATCTCTGTGCCTCAGTATTTCATCTTTAAAAATGGGGATTATAATAGTATCTACCTTAGTGGGTTGTTTTAATATACAGCAAGCACTGCCTGGTAGGTAGTGAGTTATATATATTTAAAATCTGATACTAAATATGAATTGTATAATTTACTTGGTAATGCCTTTTCCCGCATTCTATTGAATTCAGGGGATAAATAATCTTATTTATCAGTGCAAAACCTGCTGCCTAGTGGCCATGCAGGTAATATTGAATCAATGAATGGGTAATCAGTAGGCAAGTAAATATGCCTCCATTGATTCTCTTGCAGACCTCTCTAAGTTTGCTGGCATATCTGAAGAAACAAGCTCTAATAGATGAAGATAATCTGACATTACTGGAGGATCTCTGCAAAAAAGTCAAACCTGACCAAATCAAAAAGATAGAAAAGTATAAAAGAGATAAAGGTAACTAGCTTATGTCTGCTTGCTTGCATCAGACAATGGGAACTCTTAAATTAACTGGTCATGTATGATGTTTACTCATCACTCTGATAATATTCTCTTGGGAAAGCCATAACTCTCCCTTCATTTGTTCATTCAACACATATTTATTGAGTGCATACTTTGTACAGTTAGAAGCTGGAGATAGAGTAAGGTATAGAGCAAAGCTCTTTCCCTCTTGGAGCTTATATTCTAGTGGGAGAAAGCAGTTTTAGACCAGTGTCTTCTCATTCTTATATGAGAGTAAGAGTGTAGGAAATAGTTTTGAATGAAATAACAAAAAAGAAGGAGGCAGGATAGCTGGTATTAAGAGTGGGGTAGGTAGAGGCAGATTGCCAGGACCCCACTCATGGGTGGTGCAGTGGCCCTTTCCTTAGCCTTTCTCTGTTTCACTTGTTTTATATTTTGAGGTAATGCTTTTGTGATCTCTACTTGGCACTATGTGACACATTAAGTGTCATAAATTCTGAAAAGGTATTTAGTGGAGTATATAGTAATTTGAAGGAACTAATTCTAAGGAATTAATGAAATTATGAGAAGAATAACATAAACACATTAAGAACTATAACAATACAGGAAATGAAAATATAATGATACATGAAAATAATTTATAAATTCATTTTTTTTCTTAATATGTAATAAGATTGGTTATCTTTGATTGCTACTAGTCAGAAGGTGATTTTTGTTTTTCTGTCTGTGATTCTATTTCCAGCCTCCCTGGTAGTGACACTTCCTGTAGATAAGAAAACTGAGTCATCGTGTCAAGGAAAGGAGGAACTATTTTCCAGTTCAGACATTAGGCAGCTTTTGGGAGCCTTACAGGTGGGTTCACTGATGTGTTGGTAAATGTTTAACCACCAGCTCCACTCACTACCACTAATCCCCCCTGAAAAAGAGAGAGACAGAGATTGAGAGAGGCCTTGCTTTGTAGTGTTTGGTGTAAGTACTCCCACCATTGTTGATTTTAGGTTGCCAACATGACATCAGTTGATTGCAGAATTTCTGAAAATCTCTCACTGGCTCGGTTGAGCTGGACACAGTACACCACTGGGTTGCTTTAAAATGGTCCAGTTGTATCTGTGGGATTGATTAGGTCCAGTTTCCAGGGGACGTGCAGCCTGTGCAGTCCCATAGGCCAGTTTTTTCTTAATGCTCAACTGTACTGTTTAGAAAGTCTTAATAATGTATGAACAAGGGGTATCACATTTTTATTCTGCAGTGGGCCCACAAAGTATGTCGCCTGGCCTCCCCAGAGGATGAGAACTTGTTGCTGCAGTGTCCAGCAGTGGAAGGGTGGGCAGAGGGGGAAACACGGGGAGACTTGTCATCTGTTCCTCACAACGTGATCATAATCCCTGGGAGACAGAAGACATTCTTCCCTGGGATTTATGTTTCTTCCCTGCACACTTGCACAGTTCTATTTCACCAGCATCTGTCAGCATCAAGGGAGTTAGTGTGGCCTTGGATTCTTTTTTTTTAATTGTAATACAAATAACATAAAATTTACCATCTTTACCATTTTTAAGCGTATACTTGAGTACAGTTAAGTGAATTCATGTTGCTTGGTAACCAATCTTCAGAACTCTTTTTATATTATGAAACTGAAACTTTATATCTGTTAAAGAATAACTCCCTGTTCCCCCTTTCCACCCACCTTTGGCAAACACCATTCTACTTTCTCTCTCAAGGAATACAACATTCTACATACTTTAAGTGAAACCACACAATATTTGTCTTTCTGTGACTGGCTTATTTCACTTAGTAATATCTTCAAGGTTCATCCATGTCAGAATTTCCTTCCTTTTTAGAGTTAAATAATAATTCATTGTGTGTATATACCATATTCTATTTATCCCTTCATCCATCGCTGGACACTAGAGTGGCTTCTACCTTTTGCTATTGTGAATAATGCTGCTATGAACATGGTATACAAATATTACTTTGAAACCCTGCTTTCAACTCTTTTGGGTATATGCCCAGAAGTGGAATTTCTGGATCATATCATAATTCTGTATTTCATTTTTTGAAGAACTGCCATACTGTTTTCCACAGCACCTGTATCACTTTGCATTTCCAGTGACAATGTACAAGGGTTCCAATTTTTCTACATCCTTGCCAACATTTGTTATTTTTGTCTTTTTTGATAGTAGTCATCCTAATGGGTGAAAGTTGCCACCTCATTTTAGTTCTGATTTGCATTTCCCTAAATATTAGTGATGTGGAGCATCTTTTCACATGCCTGTTGGCCATTTGTATGTCCTCTTTGGAGAAATGTCTATTTAAGTTCTTTGCCCATTTTTAAATATGGTATTTGTGGAAGTTTTTTTTTTTTCCTAAAAATATTCTTTCATTGCTTCTTTAGTACCTTGATGCTTTCATATTTTTATAGTTGCAATTTTTGTTTTTAAATTTGGCAATGATTTCAATCCTACAGAACAGTTGAAAGAATGTGAATAATACAAAGAACGCTGTATACTGTTTGCCCAGATTCATCTACCTGTTGTTCACTTTCTACGGAATTTGCCTTATCCTTTATGTGCTTGCTCTATCTTTATCTGTCTATGCATACACACACACACACACACACACACATGTAATTTTTTTTTAACTTTTTGAGAATAACTTGCATATACCATGGCTCTTTACCCCTAAATACTTTAGTGTAGTGTGTATTAACTAAGAGTAAGGATATTCTTTTAAAGAACAATAGTACAGGTTTCAAGGCCAGTAAAGTTGAATTAATACAATGCTTTCAGGTATTCAAGTTGAAGGTCCATATTTTAATTTCATCTGTTGACCCATATAATATCCTTTATGCCCCTTTTTCCCCCTCCAGGACATAATTCAATCTAGGATCATCTATTGTACTTAGTGGTCACGTCTCTTTAGTTTCTTTTAATCTGGAACATTTCTACAACTTTCTTCTTCTTTTATGACATTGACACATTGGACGAATATAGTCACCCCACCACCACCACCACCTTTTACAAAAAATAGAATTTTCCTGACTTTTGGTGTGTGTGATGTTGCCTCATGATTAGATTCAAGCTAAATATTCTGGCCAGAATAGTACATAAATGATGTATCTTTCTCAGGGCGTCACATCTGAAGGCAGTGGTGTCCATCTGTCCTCTTCTTGTGATGCTGATTTTGACTATTTGGTCAAAATGTTCTCTGATTTCTTCACTATATAGTTACTATTTTTCCCTTTCAGCTGATTGGCAAGTGGCAGGGAGACATTTTTAGGCCATGCTAACATCCTACTCTGTATCCAAAATTTCCCCCTCGATTGAGCAGCCATTGGTGACTCTTGGGGTGATTTAGTATTTACTGTATTGGTTGAAAGGCAGTGATTTTCAAACTCTGGTATCCTCCACATATGTATAAGTCAGCACTCAGCATTCTACTTTAGGCAAGAGCCCTCCTTTTTCCCTTAAAAGATTTTTTGACCACTAAACTTAATTCCTCCAGCACTCAATTTTTCAACTAATTTTGTGTGTGCTCACATACTTCCAGGACTTTGCTCTTTGCCTCTTAGAAATGCATTTCTAAGGGGTGTGGCTCAACTTGGTCTGAAGCTCTGCTGACAGTGGATGGTTCTGGCCTTAGGGTGGGGAGGTGGTGGTTTTGGGGATGCAGGAGGCTTTGGGAGGCAGCACCTCACATTAAATGCATTCTCATAGTCTCTCAGGGCTGGAGGGTGTCTTAAGAGTTATCTCAGCAACCCTGCCCCTCCCCAGTAACTGATGATAAAACTTGGTAAAACATCTCACGTTTCATACGTACCTGGGAGGTTTGCTTATGTAAAAGAGCATAACCAACAATTTCATTTAATGAGAAGAAACTGTATTTCAAGCAACATCCTCTAATTTGTTTAAAAACTAAATGTTTTTGAGTGTGGCAAAGGATTTTTTAAGGAAAGGCATGCCGGTCTCTTTTTTTTTATTGAAGTTTTGTTAATATACAATCTTGTATTGGTTTCAAATATACAACACATGATTCAACAGTTGTCCATATTACTAAATCCTCACCCTGCTAATGTGGTTACTGTCAACATAGAAAGATGTTACAGAATCTTTGACTATATTCTCTGTGCTGTACTACTGTCTCCTTGGTATGCCTGTCTCTTGAGGAGAGGTAACAGCAACTTCTTTTAAGGCCTTACTGGGTCCCTCTTGAAAATAGTGGAAAGAAAACCAAGTGTGGCAAGGTGGTGGGCCATTCATTCATTCATTTATTCCTCTCTGGACACAGACTTGGGGGGTTGCAATATTCTCAGAGAAAGAGAGCCAGGTAGACCTTAAAGTTTTTCCTAGTCCCTGTTCTGGCTGAGTCTATCAGCACAAGGGAGGAGACAAACCAAGGAAATCTGGGACCTGGGGATGTTGAGCAGAGCCTGCTCCTGCATCTGTGATCCTTAATTCCAGAAATTCACTCTACTGCTTTCAAAACCAGTTGAACAAACCCAGTAAGCAGCCTGCCTGACCCTTGCATGTCTCTGAGGAGGACTTTAAGATTCCAAAGGAAGGGAAATGTGCCTTGTGAAAGAAAAGCAGGAAGTCTCTTGGAAAGTGAAACTAAACTTCCTTTGCATCTGTCCCCTCAGAGCTGGGGAATTCTAGGGTTGTGTAGCTTTGGGGTGGGACAGCACAGCTCCGTCTGTCTTGGAGAGAAATCACGACATGGAGCCTGAAGCTTGGTGGGCTCCAGCAGGGAGGCATCTTCAGTGCTGTGGGGGTGATTTGCTGGTCACCTCAAACAGGTCTCCCGGTGCTGCCCACCCCAAAGCCAGTGGCAAGCCAGCCCCTCCCCAGAGCCCTTGGTCATGTCTCCTTTGGGGCTCTCTGCTGCAGGCTTAGAGAGGGCTGGGGCAGAAATACACAGAGGATGAGAGCCAAAAAGCTAGACTTGCTGTAGAGAAGCACAGATACCTAATCCCCAGCCATAAAAAGATCACTGGCAGGTGACAAGAAGAGAATCAACCATGTGGGAAAGATTAGGGAACTAGACTATGTTTCAATTTTGTATTTTTTTAAATTTAAATAGTGAGTTTTAATTAATTAATTTATTTCTCATTTTTTTTTAAACTGAAGCATAGTTGACATAATACTATAATAGTTTCAGTTGTACAACATACACCCGAGTGTTTCGATATTCATATACATTACAAAATGCTTCTGATAAGTGTGGTCACCATGCCAAGTTAAAACAATATTTTTGACTGTATTCCCCCTGCTGTACCTTTCATCTCTGTGACTTATTTCCTAACTGGCAGTTTATACTTGATACCCTACACCTATTTTGCTCAACTCTGCCCCCTCCCCCCAACTTTGGCAACCTCCAGTTTGTTCTCTGTGTTTATGGGTCTGTTTCTGGGTTTTTTGTTTGTTCGTTTGTTATGCTAAGTGAAATAAGTCAGACAGAGAAGGACAAATACCAGATGATTTCACTCACATGTGCAATCTAAAAATCAATTTTGAATTAAACTGTATAAAATGTTTATGTAGGCCCAAAGTAAAAACTATAGAGTTCACTCTCAGAAGTCTGCACTGCATCCCTGCCTCTCTTCCCCTCCCCTACAGATCACAATTTTTATTAGTTTAAAAAAGATTTATTCTATTGTTACTTTGGGGAAAAAAAGCCATGTCCCCCCTTTATTATAAAATAGGTACTACACCACAGATGCAAGGATGGTACAATATTAGAAAATCCGTCAACATCATCCACAACATCAGCAAAAAGAAGGACAAAATCCACATGATCGTCTCCATAGATGCCGAAAAAGCATTTGACAAGATTCAACATCCATTCATGATATAAAC